CTCTACTAGAGAGAAGTATTTTTGGAAAGAAGACGAAACATTTTAGAAACTTCCCCCAAAAGGGGATAAAATATAAACTAAAAATTAAAAATACACTCACACACACACACACAAAAAATGCTTTAAGGCTTGGTAATGAAGTGTCTGTATTACAGAAAGGAGGTTTATAGAAAAACTAGAACAATTTGGTTTCTTCATAAAATTAATATAAATAAATCCCCAACCCTACAGATTTCTTTCTGAAGAATGATACAAACATTAAAAGAGATGCTATAATTACAAAATCAGTTAATTAATCATTTTTTTCCAAGATTTAAAAGTAAATTTAAACATTTTTTAAAAAATATTTTGTTGTCAGGATTGTTCATATTTTAATTAAGGAGAAAAAGGGATCTCTTCCTTTTTCCAAACTATGAAGGCATCCAAATTGCACAATTGATAATGTTTCAACTGCCGCATAGCTAGCTTCTAGATTAACCAGACTGTTACTTTCAAATGCAAAGAAGTTCCAATCTAATGAAATCTGTTCCATAACATGCAAGCTGATTCTATATATTGCAGAGGAGCATACTTATACAATTGTTACTATAACGTATATATGATAATGCATTTTATTGGAAGACAAAATAGTCTCATAATTAGTTAGGATAACATCTATATGTTTCTTCACATTCTGGAGAACAATTAATAAGCTAAAATAATCTAACATAAAACGGATACATTTCAGAAACCATCAGGACCCCCTGCTTTATGTTTTAAAGCAACTATTGGAAATTATATAATTGTTATAAAACAGTTATTGGAAATTTAGCAAAGAATGATAGGTGCATCATGTAAATGAAAGCTGATCTGATACCTCTGAATCAATACAAAGCCTACTAAAAAGTATCTAAAATAATTATTTCACTTCTAATACAATCTAATATAGATAATGACTCAGACCTCGGATTCCATCAATAAAGAATATGTTAGCCTTCCATTCAATGGAATTGCTATATTTTGTATATAACAGAGGTAAATTTTAAAATTACTTTATTAAATATATCAAATGTATATTATATTTTGTAATGAATAGATTTAAAAGATAATGCACATGAATAATATTGGTATAAAACTAGGTCTGATTTTATTAAGGTATAAGGAGATAAATACCCTTCTGCAACAATATTCTTTCACAACACATACAACGTTAGCAAAGTCAAATTGCATATCATTTTTATAAGTTGTATAAAAAGTGTATATAACTGTATAATCACACATAGTCTCACATTCTAGAATGTATGTATCTAATATTTATAGTCTGATAATGTAATAAAGATAAATGACAGTTAAAGATTTGTGGATTTTCCCCATCCCCGTTTCTTCCTTTTATAACTATAACACAGACATTACAAAATGTCTGTAAACTGAAGAATGAAATTTATGGTACAAATCTGAATCTGTCTGAAAGAGAAAGTGTCTGTTGTCATTTTTAATGAAGGAAAACTTTTGTAGTGTTCTAACCGGAGTATTTCCTACATCCTACACTGATTCACAATAATAAAAATCTGTGCCTAGTGTGCAATTTCTGTTTTACTGCCAGCATTTTTTGCAACATTTTGTTGATCTGAAATAAAAAAAAACTTGTAAGAGGCCAAATGGATGCTGAAGGGTGTGTGGAGCTTCTAATATTTATGGCCTATATTCAAAAAGTCTCCCTTGTGTCCTGGGAAAAACTGACATCTTTTCCCTTTATATAACTCTGTCTTTGTTGCATAACATCCAGCGTGCAAAGCGCACAGCTCCTCTAATTCTACATTAGTCTCTATCATCAGTAAAGTCTGGATTGAGGCTGAGGAAATTGTACTTACTACTTTACCATATAAATTGCTCCTTATTTCAGTACCTGTTTCAGAGATATTTCAAAATGGAAGGTGAGGTGGTGTACCCCACAATTTAAAACAGGGCCTTTTTAATAGTGGCACTACAGTTTGAGAATCATCTCCCTGCAACTCTTTCAAATGTCCAGGGCATTTTATTTTGGGCGAGCTTTTACATTTTTATAATTATACTTTTATATTTCTGTCACCTTAGCACCTTAGTAAAACAGCTTTACCTATTTTAAATTTCCTTTAAATTGTATTCTTGTTGTATTTTTTTCCACATGTAATCCTAGTTTTGTTTCTTAACATTGTTCCCTTAAACTCATTGGGGCTTACTTCCAGGTAGTCATAAATTGGGCTGTATATTTAGTGATTTTTTAAAAAAAATCTATGTAGTATTTTGGAGCAGGAAAGCTTTATAGAAAAATACAAAGCAAAGTAAGAAATGTGTTAGATAATTTTAAAGAATCTTATGATGAGAAGGGCCTGAATGATTTCTTCCAGTGCTCAAAATGCAATAAAAATGCCAGAACAATCTTTAGAGAAGTGTTACAAAAAATGCCACAAGAAATTACATGGAAACATGAGAATCCAATGTAATTTGGTGTTTATAATGTACACCCCCCCACTTTAATCCAAGTTCAAAATGGATTATTTTTTTAAAAAAGGAACAGGAAGACCAAAGAACACAGTGAAATCCAAATCTCACTAAGTATTTCCTTTGGTGAAGCCATTGCCTCCCAAGATTGCAGGAATAAATTACCAAAAAGCTTTTATTATAGAAACCTTTCTGTAAAAAGGATAGTCAAAAAGAATGAAGTTATGTTGTAAGCAATAGAAATTAACAGTGCCAGCCTTCCTAAGGCCTGTTAATATTTAGTGCCATCAGGTCCCCTAGTGGTTTAATCAAATATTGCTGAATGACACCAAATGTCATTTGGCCTCAACATGTACAGATCACAAAGATTTACTATATAGTATATGGGCAAAAAACAATCAGCATTGCTAAACACAATTTCCTGCTTTTAAACTTTCATTGACTGGAATACTGGAGGAAGATAACACATATCTTTTGTCTTCCAAACTACATGAGAAAATGTTCAAAATTAAAAATATCCCTTCAATATTTCTAAACGTTTCATGATGCATCTGGGGTATCTGAAATAATTTCATATTAAATGATTCTCCATAAAGTAGAACTAAACTACTACTGGTTTATACATTTGTTTTACTTATTGTATGCACACATTTCTAAAAAAAATAATTTCCATGAACTGCAAGTCCACTGAAAGAAAAATAGCATTGCCAAAGTACACTGTTTTTTTTCTTAGAGGAAAAATACAGGATGCACTTATATAAAAGCTTATTTAATTCTTCTTCACTTTAATCACTGGCAACATATAAAAACTTGTGAAGAATCTATTATCAACAGCCCCAAATTTATTTCTAACCTTTGGCATTACTGTATATCTTTAAATGCAGGTATCAACTGCATTTCATGCCTCATGCTAAGAGTAACAGGTAACTTCAGAAAATAAAGTGCCTAGATAAGAAATCAACACTAAAAGTAGTACTGACTAAGTTTGTTCTTGGATGATTTTAAGATTTGGAGCTTGAAGATTAGGACTGCCTGCTTTCCATGGACTCCCTACCACTTTATTCAATGAATTCTCCATTACACATATTCTACCCCAAATGTTCTCTCTTCTCATGTACTGTATGTCATTATTTCCTAAACTTATAAAGAGCATGCAGAGAACATTCTGTGAAGCTACTTAACAAGCCTCAAGACACCTTTTAGAACACCAAGCTAAGATTAATTATTCTGATGAAAGCTTCACGAAAAAGATATTTATTCATTTAGAGATATGCACTTTTCACTTCATATCTTTTGTATCGATTTCAATACAAATATGTTTATATAGGTTTAACATAAGCATGCCCTGGTAAACATATGACCTTCAGTGTGTGTTATCCTGTTTCTGCTTTCCCCAAATGTGATGTAAACATTTGGGAAGACAGAGAGAAAAGCAAAGAACTAGTTGCTGCTTTATAAATAAATGCTCAGCATTCCAAACAACTTTTCCAAGTGGCCAATCTAGTGCTAAGCACTGTTTATGTTTGCAGCACATTTCGAAGAAAGGGAGACTACATAAATATGATTGGCATGGGATTACAAGCCCAGATCTTTCATTGTGTTATGGAATTTATTTCTCCTCAGTGAGGCCTGTCTTTTCAAGAAGCTAAGCAGTATATCATGGAAGAAAACCATACATTTTTAATTTAGCCATGGTGTTCTCCTACTATTTCATTTATACATGTGCAAATGGAATTTATGAAGTAATACTAATATTGATTTCTTTTAATATTTGTAATGTTTGTTTTATCCAGGTTAGGCATATGGAAAGCTGTTGTTATGGCCTTGATCTGTGTCTCTCTGAAAAAAATAAAAGGATTAAAGGGATACAGTCTGGGAGAGGGAACCCCAAATCCTTTAGATGGTGTAGCTGAAGGGTCCTGATTCCCACATCCCTCTTTATCAAAGATCTCCCTTATCATTTATCTGCAATGCTCCTATACATAATTCTGCCTGCGAATTCTAGAGATTGTACAGTAAGTACCAAAGCTTTGCCATCTCCACTTCGTTTGGTACGTGCAGTGTTCCAAAGATTGTTTAAGTTTAATCCATATTAAACTGCACATCTCTGAAACCTAGGTAAGCAGAATTAAATCTATGTTAACACAGATCACTTATAAAGGTATATATATGCATTCATTTCTATGATTTAAAAATCCTGCTGCCTTGAACTGGAAATAAAACAAGATAAAATAAGAAAATATTCAGTGCCTGGATCAGAAATATTAACCTGGTTTTTGTGTGTGTTGTGTCTGTCTGTTTGTCTGTCTGTCTGTATACTATATCTCATGTTTTTAAGTAATGCAAATTCTTCTTTCAATATTTTTAAATAACTAAGACGGTGCACATTTCTCTTCCTTATTCTACTTAAAAACACACCAAAATATTTGTTAGAATATACACTATACTGAATCCTTCTCCCTCCCTTCGTTTTCCCAAAACACAGAGTAACACACACACACACAGACAAACGCACGTTTCCATGTAAATAAGTTATTTACCTTTTTTGTCTTCTTTGCATAACATTCACTGTAGGACTTAGACCCAGCTGTTTGTTTACAAACCACAAGTCATCATTAGGTTGTTTTTGTTTTGTCTTTTTAAACCCTCCAAGAAAACTAAAATGGAAGGAAAATAAAGCACAATAGAAATACATTCCGCCTGACGTCGTGCTACCATTTGATCCCAAGGCCCCTGTAAAACACTGAAACACACGAAAGAAAACTGTTTACAACCCACTCGTGCTGACTTCCGCCCCCTTCCCCTTTACAACCCGAAAACAGTACACCTTCGCATTCCTCGAAAATTCTATTTTCTGACTACGGAGGATATTAAGCCTTTAATCTACGATTTTAAAGACATTAAGATCAGAAAGAAAATAAAATCACCGACGTGCCATGAAAATAGCAGAACCCACGACAGACCTTTTATTGCCTCTATGTATTTCCCTCCCTTAGTGACAGACGTTTCATTGGTTTTCAGCCGCGGCGCAAACTTTGTTGCGATTGGCCGAACAGGTCGAGCTTAGCTCTGTTGGTAGGGAAAAGGCTGGCGATCAGGCTGGCCAATCGCGTGTTTTGTTTCCAGGAGAAACATGGCACGAGGAGCTATTTCGATCCTTACTACCGTGATGTCAGCGCTGGAGGCCAGGCGGGCCAGGGGAAACGCGCCGTGTTGCAAAGGGGCAGAAAAAGTATAGGGAAAAATCAGCTAGAGTAGTTATAGAGCCAGTGCAAGAGACACATCTCACCTAACTAAATCGGAAGGGTTGGAGGCAAACGAGAAGGGCCGCATCACTATCGTAAATCCACACTGTAACAGTTTTTGGCACCCGCTCCCCCATCGGCGGGGGATTTACTACATAGAGACCCACTCTTTCTGTAAGACCAAGGTAGTCCAAAGATACCGCTCTTCCTTGGTTACAGTTTTTAAAACTATAATTGGGATTAATTTCCAGGATGCAATTTATTAAATGCATTTGCCAGTAGAGTAAGGAAGCGTTGATCTTCTATAGTACATTTGCTTTAAAATGGTATCTTTTGAAAAGTAATGCTGGTGCATTGTTTAAAAGGGTAGCGTGGTGGATACTGTACTGTAGATCTTTTGTATTAAAAGGTACTTGCTTTAATGGTTGTTTCAGAGCAGTAGTCTCCTAATCTAGTGTCTCCAGGCGTGCTGACTACATCGTCCCTAGTTGCCTTAGGATGTTAGTTGAGTTGATAGAAAGTTCATACAATGAAAGATAGAAAGTTTAATGGAAGAAGAGATAGAAAGTCCAGTACATCTGAGAGCGCTATTTTGTCCAAGAGTAGCACTGCAAAGAATTATGGCAGGTTAGTAGGAATGGAGGTGTGTATTTTAAGCTCCATTGCAATATAACAGTGATGGCAAACCTTTTAGAGACCGAGTGCCCAAACTGCAACCTAAAACCCACTTATGTATCATCAGGTGCCGGGTGGGTGTGGCCCATTGGGTGGGCATGGCTATGGTGGTAATGGCAGACTGGATGAGACTAAAAAGTTTGATCAATCAATTCCAACTTTGTGAGATCTTTTTTTCCCTGCAAGAATTTGAAATTGATTGATTGATTGAACCTTTTTTTTTTTTTTGCACAAGGCGGTGAGGCCTAAAGTGAAAAGGTTTTATAAAACCCAGCTGAAGACCTAGGATTGGGGCGACAACGCACGTGCCCACAGAGAGGGCTGTGCGTGCCACAGGTTCGCCATCACTGCAATATAATCTATTTTTAATTCCATCTGCTTGTAAGTTTGAAAAGTCCAACCCTTCTCCATTTCATGATGGTTCAATTATTCCACCCCATTGTACAGCAGTAGTGAGTTTGTTCTTTGTACTCCTTGAACTTGGCAGAGCATTATAACTGGGAAAACTTGGAGCATGTTAACTGCTTCCTATGATAATCCTGTATAACGTAATGGTTCCCTTTAGTGTAGTTTATTTCTTCAAATAACTCTTTAGAATAAATATATTCCCAATTAGTTGAATTGGCTACTTCAATGTAATTGTTAATGGCTTAAAACAATCAAACTATTCTTTTGCTCAATTTAAGGTCATTGCATTAATTGATTGATGAGATTTGTCTAATGCAGGAATGTCAAACTCAATTTCATTGAGGGCCGCATCAGCACGGCGGTTGCCCTCGGGGCTGGGTGGGTATGGCCAGGGTGGGTGTGGCCTACTGGGTGGGTGTACCTAGAGTGGGTGTGGCCTACTGGGTGGGCATGGCCAGATCTACATCATTTGCGTCAAGGGTGCCTGTGGGTACTTGGGCAGGAGTGGGACAGATCTGATGGTCTCTGGCAGAAGGGGGTGGGACCAAGGCAAGTGCCAAGGCATGGTCCACTGGAGGAGCCTCACTGTTCCTCTCAGGCCGTGCGGGAGGGGCTGGATGGTGGTGCGGGCTGCCCGGAGCCCTGGGCAGCAGAGGTCAAATGCTCAGCCTGGCCCTTGAGCACCCGTGGCACCAAGCCCAGCCCCACTTCCCCAAGGGGGTGCCCAGCTGCACTTACCTCCTCCTCAAGGCTGCTGCTTTGTACTTGCTCTCTTTAGCCAGGTTGCTCATGATGGGTACAAGGGCAAAGTCAGAGGGAGGCCCATTTCCTCTCCATGAGAGGAGACCCGGCTTTGTATCCAAAGCTTCCTTAGCAATAGGATGGGAGACCCCCAGGATAGGCCAGGAGGAGGGGGCAAGGGGATGGTGAAAGGGCAGCAGGGCAGGACTAAGGTAGGACTTCCCTCAGACCCTCCCTCTCCTTCTTTCCTTCCTTCTTTCCTAAGTACGGAGTGGTGGGAAAATATTTGAGATGAAGGAGGGAGAAAAATGGGCAAGAAACACAGCTGGGGAGGTGTCACCTCCCCAGCATGCACTCAGGGGGCGGGACCGATGCGACAGGGGCTGGTTCCTCACTGTTTTCAGTGAGGAACTAAGACTGAATGCGTTTCAGCATAGATGGCCACCACTGAATTATACATTGGCTCCCGGCCAGCCAGGGCCAAGGCAGCGGGGGCCGTTCCCTTACTATTTCCAGGGTGGCTTCGCGGGCCACATGAAACCACTTCACAGGCCGCATCTGGCCCCCAGGCCTTGTGTTTGATATGTCTGGTCTAATGCCTGAAACTAAAGGACTATATCAGTGATGGCGAACCTTTTAGAGACTGAGTGCCCAAACCGCAACCCAAAACCCACTTATTTATTACAAAATACCAGGGCCAAATCAGCATTGAGGTGCCCTCAGGAGGGAGGGGGAGGGGTGTGGCCCACTGGGTGGGCGTGACTGCAGTGGGCATGGCCACCTCGATGATGCTCGTGGAGGAGATGCTGTGGGTGCCAGGCAGGGATGGGGGAGATCCGGGGGATCTCTGGTGGGTGGGGCGGTGGGCAGGAGGCTCATCCTGTGGGGTGAGGTAGGGGACAGGATGGGGGTGCCATTGCCGCAGGGCAAGGCGAGGCCAGGGCGGTTGCTGCCTGACACCATCAGCCCCCGCACACAGAGGCCAGTGAGCGCATGGGGGCCAATAGTGTCCGTCAGCAGCCATAGCCTGCCGGCCCCTCAGCTGGCACACTCTGGGGCTCCGCAGTCTGCTACCAATACCGGGCCAGCCCTCCAGCAGTAGGTGGAGTAGGGGAGGGGGAGGCACATGATGCAGACCGCTGGACATGCCTACTCTGTCTCATCTGTTTTTGTTTGTGGTTGGAGAGCAGGTCGCTACTGGTCATCTTGGCCCCCTCACAGATCTTGCCCTTGGCCCGCACGTGGAGTCTGTTCCCCTCATGCACCCGACGCACCTTGGCCCTGCCTTGGGGGCCTAATGGACCTGCATGAGTTGCTGGTGGCAGCAGCGCAAGTGTCCTCAGAGAGGGCTCTGAGTGCACCTCTGGCACGCATGCCATAGGTTCGCCACCACTGGACTATACTATATATGTACATAGGTAATTGTGAGTATTTATCTAGTGAAGTGACTTCCTTAAGATTAGTATTTAAAAGATAATTACAATTTTGCAGGAGATGGAAAGTGGGGTTGAAAAATCAAGGGATTATGTCTGGCAGCCACAAGTGGACAGGGAAAGATTTTGCCTTGATTTCCAAGCTGAAAACACACTCTCTCAAAATCCTTCTTTTCACATACTGGCCACTGTCTCAATAATAACAAGGGAATTCGGTAACATATTTTTGTTACAAACAAAGCCCATAGAATGAAAAGGTGTTGAGGCATATGTACCATGTGTGTACATGGATGTGCCATGGAGTGGTCACTTATTAGAATAGAGTTAAGCACAGAACCATTCTGGGACATGAAGGGCTATTACAGGAAAGAGAGGATTCATTTTCCATTGTGCTCAAAGATAGGGCAAGAGTCAATGGATGGAATCTTTACAAAGAAAGATCGAAACCTGAAAATAAGAATTTTCTGATTGTGACAGCTCTTACGTGATGGAAGAACCTGCCTCCTGGAGTTGTGCCCATCAATAGAAGTTTTCAAATAAAAGTTGAATAGCCATTTGTCTGGGATGGTCTAGTATTCCTGTCATGCACAATGGATTGGATTAGAACAGGGGTCCTCAATCTCTGGGCCACAGCCCACTACCGGCCATGGACCCTTGGCCACCGGGCTACGTGAATGACTGGCCAGTGCACACTAGTGCTGCCCTGAGCGTCGCATGGATGCTAGGGCTGGCCTTAGTGTCGTGCGGGCGCTAGCCCCACCCCAAGCATTGCACGGGCGATCACGCCACCCCCAGGTTTGCGTGGGCACTATCCCTGCCCATAGCTTTGCGTGGCACTATCCCCGCCCCCAGTGTGTGTGCACTAGCCCCACCCCCCCAGTGTCACGTGCACACGCATGCCGCCCTCATTTGCATCGCACGCACACGGGCCCATCCTTGCCCCTTCCTTTCCCTCCAGGCTGCCAACTTAGAAAGATCGGGGACCTCTGGATTAGAAGATGTCTAAGGTCCCTCCAACTCTATGAGTCTATGTGTTCAGTTCAGCATTCCTTATAAGCATTGGACAGAAATGCCTGTAGTGAGTCTTCAAACTGTGAATAAAGACGAAAATCCATGGTTACTGTTAATGTTTATTGCCCATACATTTCAGGGAATAATATTGACTTCTAGCTATATGAAAGTGAAACATTTATTTCTGCCTAATCTTTATACCATTTATAGTTACATAAACCCCCATTGTTACCTTGTCCATTAGGGTTCTTTTATACAAGGGTACAATTCCATTACTGAACCACCTTGAGCTCTCTCCAGTGGATGAAATAGCTTTGATCCATTTATCAAATGGAAAAGTCTTGTTTCATAGCCATGAATAAGATGTTTTCCTGAGCTAAGGACTATCTGGGTTATGCTGTGTTATACACAGATCCAGGTTCAGCTTATGTCACTCACTCAC